CATGGTCTTGGTCCTTTAGTGAGGTTGGATGGAAGGATAACAGCTAAAGATTATATAGCTGTTTTAGAAAACCACTTGAAAATAAGGAAAATGTAAATTTTCAAGAGGACAATGCTCCTATACATACAGCACGAATAGTAAGAAATTGGAAAGATGAAAATAATGTAACATGTCTTCCTTGGCCTGCACAAAGTCCTGATATGAACCCAATTGAACATCTTTGGGATGAGCTCGAAAGAAATAGATGGATTTACTCCCGACGATCATAAATCATATTTCCTCACACAAAAAGGTCGTTTTTTCCGGAACTGATCCGGGCACTGTTGTGACCTCCGTCACAGTGCCAAGTACCCTCGAATCCATCTTTGCTAGCGTCAACCGCTTCCAAGCCCTTGCGTCCATTGAGGACGACCCTAATGAAGATGCACCATATGCTTTCGATGTTGATCCCCTTCCAAAGCCCTACAAAATTACCGCGGGTCTTGTTAATAACGTGACCTTTTTGAAGAAGCACCAAAACAAGCATCAACGGAGACAAGGAAGCGGTGTAGATGAGGAGGAGCAGCGAAAAAAACTAGCAAAGGAGAAACGGGAGCGGGAGATTCGAACTAAAAGGGCGTATGGCAAGATCACTGCTGAGGAAAGGCGACATATTCGTTCCCATGCTCAGCTTCCTCCCGATGCGCCGAAACCTGCATTGATCCACTGCGTTGGACACTGGCAAGGGATCAACAGCTGTATCAAAGGACATTCTCGACGAGGAATGAAACAGATTCGGGCACAACACAGACTCCATGGAAACGTTGCAATTGTCAATGAGTACAATTCTTCAAAGACCTGCCCCTTCTGTTTTTCCAAAGTTGTTCTCCATCGTGCCCGCAGGATTGTCGGGGGGAAGGAACGAGTGGTTCGTCTACATGGGGCCATCGAATGCGTCCATCCCCGGTGCCCAGCAAGGAGGATCAATCACACTACCAGAGGAAGGGATGCAAACGCGGCGGCCAACATTGCTCTCTCTGGGGCCTCCATTATTCTCTCGTCTGACCACCAACCCCTTCCTCCATTCAGGATGAATAAATATGGGTGAGGAAGGAGATTTTTTATTTTGCTTTTTTTTATTTACTCCCTGGCTGTTTTATTCACATGCTCACTTTGTCTGGTTTTGTTGCAGCATGTCCCATATGACTCCTGATAGCCTGTTCGTGCCACCTGACAAAAAAAGCTTTCCACACTCGCGGTCCTGAATAAGACTGTGAGTTAGGGTAGTCCTAGAAAATTTCAAAACAATATTCAAATTTAAAAGGTTCCCTATTAGACTAGTAAATAATAAATAATTGTGGTTAATTCCTTTTCTCAATCTCACATTGAATATAAGTATGCGTATAAACATATTACTGATTAGTATGTCGCTTTATTGTCAATTTTCATTATAAAGTCGATTTGATATAAACTAATGATCATGTTATGGTATGTGCTCAATAATAAGAGAAATCAAACAGGAAAATATCTAAATTCGCGCACAGAAATCATAAACTCGACGATTAAAAAAGTGCTAAAGTTAAACAAACGCTCTATCAGTTTCTAACGTTACTGACGTGCATGCACGATGGTCAAATGACCAAGATATACAACACGTGTATTCATTAAACTTTTGTACAAAAATTTACTAATAATTAACATATTCTACATAATCGATTTGTTGTCGGACGGAGGTTGAACTAAAACCACGTTATGCGTTGATAGTTCTCGCTTAAACTGGCATAGATTCTGTGTAAACCGGTCTCTGTTTTTCGACGTAAGATTCCATTCGAAGTCTTCCATCAGTGCTGTTAATGCCTGGAGAGGGGGGAAAGTAAACTTCAGCCTCTGTCCTATGTTATTAATAGGTATACCGAAGATGTTAATCACAATCACCTTTGCTAGAGTTTCCCTCCTTTCGGGTAATTGTAACTGCAGTATAAGCTGCGTGTACTCGAAAAAGTACTGAAAATGGAAATGGAATATGATAAGAATGTAAACATTTCCGGAAAACAAATGATAAATACATACCTCTCTGTTCAAGAGGATTAACCCTAGCAAAGGTCTTGATAGTGACCATTGATTTTGGCGGTCTTCGAAAAGAACCATCCCAAAATTGGCTGCTAGCATATACGGTAGTATGTGGGAATATTGTGATAAATATACTAGTAGCCAGTGCTGGTTGGGCTTTTGTTTAGCCATTTGTTGCACGACAAACGTGCAAATGTTGTCTACAGCAATACATGCTGCGGAATTCGCTACATTATGTATAACATTGGAAAGAGTCAAGAAACGGTTGAGTGTAAATCTCGCATTGTAACAACGTCAAATGTAAAAAAAGGATATCTAATGTCTGAAGTCCCTCCGCCAATGCTCTCATTATGTACAGAAACACGTTCGAGTTTAGTTCTCGAAGTGTTGTCATGTGTTCATTAGTGAACATTTCCATCAATTGGAAAAATGCTCTGCATAATTTCGGGTATTCCTGCAAAAATAAGGTAGTTACAACGGGAATTTGTAATAAGGAATTCGTAACACATCATAAGAATGCGCACCATTAAGTCCTCGAACGGTATGCTTAGTATCAATTCAAACATTGTCGATAATGCAACTTCAAGCGCCTTGTCACCATAAAGCTCGAAAACTCCAAAATTTACATAACGTCCACCAAAGCATCTTGTAAGCATTAAAAAACACACTGTTATGCCTTTGTATCTACAAGAAACAATAATGATTATAACGTTGAGTAATAATAGCATTAGACAATTTCCAAATACCAATTAAATAAATACTGACTTGTCGGCATACTTATCCGAGCCTAGCGATGGTCTCGCCAGGGTCTGTCGACCTTATTCGTTAACGAAACCACCATAATTAAGCATTATATTCAATCACAATACTTCATACCCTTAGCTGATTGCTTACCATACGCATTTATGACTTTACTATATACAAAGTTCAACAAGCAATAAAATTAAAAACCATGTTTTGCATGTATTCAACACAAAAAAAAATTAACGTCTTATCCAACGTACCTCGCTTCTCTAAATATTAGAATACCGTTCGGTGAGGAAACCTCGAAATTTAGTCTCTGTGCTTTGTTGTTGACAAACTCTAGATAAAATTTAAGTATGCCAATGGCCAAGCGGTCATCAGCCCAGGCTTCCAAGGCGTGTAGCAGTACTTCGGAATGATTGGGATAAAACCAGTCGAAGAATAACGTGAATTGCTTGCGCCCTTGTAACGCGGACAAAAAACCACGCAAATCATATAGTACGCCCATCAGAGTATCCTGAATATGTGATCAAACCAGTCAATACGTCGACCGACAATTATCATTAGAACTCGCATAAAACTAAATTTGTCTAGAATTACCTTCACCACAGGTTGTCTAAATTCACTCAAAGTGTTGAATGTCTCAAGTTCGCGCAGTGTTTCATCCCATGGCTTAATAAATTCGTCAAAATCGAGTTCCGGGTTTTCGTCTGCGAATAGTATTTTGGACAGAGCAGCGTAATATTTCATTCGATTTCTAAAATTCTCCGGCACTCCAAGGAATGGAAAACTCTTAATGGAGTGGTTTTGAATTATGTACTGAACGGTTTCGAGTTTGCGGAGAAGTCTCACGGAACTATAGCTGCGTGCACGTGAATGCAAGTAAAAGTTAACGCGGAGTGCAACAACCCGTGAGTGATGCGAAGAGTCTTCTAAATACCCAGCTGCAAAGTCGTTGAGCAAATTAATACTTCGTAGGATTATTTGAGGGCTGTTCGCCCACATCTTAAGATTTGTTGCACTGTTTAGAAAGGATAATGAGAATTACTCGTGACAATATATAGAGAAACAATGACAATGCAAGTTACACTTACAGCTTTTGCACGATCACATTGAGAAGCTAACGGAATATATGGAGCTATTAGAATTTCATTCACATCCAAAACATACATGGAATTAAAAGAAAACCAAAAACCAACCATCGTCTGATCGTGGATCGCAAAGTTCTCTGATAGTTTGCCGAAAACTTTGGATACTTTGTGAGAATTATCACCTATATAACTTTTTCGAAATGTTCCGAAGAAGTATACAAATGATAATTCTAACTTTTCGCAACCGAAGTGCCCGACATTCTTTAGAACGGCTTGATTTAGCATGTATCTCGTATTGCATAAAGATATATGTAATGATTATTACCGGCGCGTTCCATGACTGATTGACATTCATCAGCTGGAGTACCTTGCAGGACAGCTCGCCATCAATATAGTCCTGTTCTTCGCTGCTGATATATGTCTGAACACAAAGTCTAATCAATTTCATTCGTAATATAAAATTATGTCAAAACTAGATTTTTCGTACCTGTCTTCCGCCCACAAGCCCACCGATCATGTACACCAGCCAAGCAAACTTTGCTATGAATGTCAATTAGTCAAGTAAAATAACGAATTTATGTGACTGGTTCACGCATATGCAAGCAATTGTATTTACTTACTTTGCACAGCTTCCATAGCTGAAGACGATGAGCTATTACCAACTCCCGTTGATGCTTGTGTCATCAGGTTCTGTAATACAAAACAAATATAATGCTATATAACATGGTCATCGAGGGCCAGACTCTTTACCATAACCTTGTGTACCTGATATGTTGACGCTATAGGGTCAAATGTCTCCATTATGACAGCGCTACAGTCGTCGTATTTATAACGCGCAATGGTCGCCAAAAGTTCAAATTCTGTTATCTGCGCGTCTTCGTTGTCCAAAAGGTCTTAAAATGAACGTTAAATCGTAAATAATTGTTTGTGCATTGTGCATAGTTGTAAAAACATTTGAATGCATACCATCGATAGCCCCCCCATCTACATTTACAGAATCTATACGTGAAACCACGTATGCCCGCATCAACTAGAGACGAGCGTCAAAAAAAATTCATTCATACACAAAGCGCTTAAATCGAAAACACTTTGTCGAAACTACACCTGAGGAGCAATGCGCTCAAGCCGGCTCGTGGTAGCGTTCGATGCCCCTGTTGACGACAACATCTTACTCCAAAAAGTGAGCAAGTACTGCACGCTGTTTGGTGCCCACTTGGGTGAGACGGGACAAAATATTGGTTAGTGACAGTAACATCTGAGTCATTTCTAAGCGAGCTGTAATTACCTGCCATGCTTGAAACCCTTTTACTGAAAAATTAGCCACCAAGTCTAACCATTCCCCATAGCCGGGTTTTTCTGTAATTTCATTACACTGATGTGTTGATCTAAATCTGGAAAGAAGCCTGCAGAACTCGTGGTAATTGTTTACGTTTTCCAATCCAATAGATGTCAGGAGGATCTCACTAGTTCCTTGCATTAACGTAAACAAAAATTTCGAGCGTTCATCCTCATTGAATAAAGACCGTCGAATCGACGAGACTTGTACTAGAACTTCCATAACCTGAGTAAACAAATTATTCGTAGTGATAAAATGAGTAACACTGTATTTGCAAGTATTGATTTGCACATGTATAGATTATTAATAGACAACGCACTTGACTGGACGGGGGTGGTTGGAATTGCTTGTAACAATCAAACAGAGTCTGAAGGAAAGTTGGTTCTTCGACAGTCTGTCGCCATGACATGGGAACCTACAAAAGGCAGCGAAACGTAAAGATTATAGTTCTATTCAGATGTCAAAATTGGCTCAATATAACTCACTTGAATGCTTCCAATATCTTCGCCAGACTCATCAGGGATAGTGCCAATGAAATCAAATGCCAGACAATTACGAAGTAATGTCAGACATGCTTCTTTTATTCTCGAGTCTTGATTGGCTAAATGCATAGATGTATGTCAAATTAACAATCTATGGAAATCGACTTAAATATGACTTTCACGCATCAAGTCATATCCATACACTTCGTGTAAGGCACTTCTCTATGAAGAATCTGACGCAAATTAGCCATTCCTAGCTGGAATATCTTCAAAAGCTGCTGATCCCTGAAACTGACAGCTATACAGAATGCGGTGTGTTAGCTAATAAACAATTGTCCCAATTTGTGTCATGACTATAACGACAAACCTGTTTTCCGTAATTTATTTATATTCCGTCCTGCGATTGACGCTTGATTTATATCCGACACAACAATGCCCAATATTTGTAGCCCGACAATCTTGTGATCGACAGTTGCCTGAACGCGATGAATGACCGGATGTAGCTTTGAATTGCAAGACATCAATGCTTGCGATTAACAATAGATAAGAATTTACCTGCAAAAAATTAGATAAATCGTTTGTGACAAGCCGGAACTCATCTCCCTCAGACCATCCGGCTCTGGTGATTGCTGCAAACAGTTGAGCCAATGATGAGATAACAAATGGCTGGTATTCAGGGTTCTGATACAAATAAGTCAATACAAAATTTCCTTTTCATCCAAACGATTATTTGTTAAGAGATCAATTAAAAAAGAGATTATATAAATATATTAAATTAGTATTAAATAGAATGGAACTGCGCCCAATTAAGATAAGCGTTTATAGCAAACCGTACTCAGATCTAATTTCTGCTGCATTGTGAACATTGAAAAGTGATCTGTCACTAAAGTCTTTAGCCTTCCTGATGCAAACATCTGGGCATATGGCGACGCAGAATTCTTTAACAGCCATTGACAATAAGCCGACGACTCTGCCGGCGTGTGAATATGAACACCAAGTGGATTTGGAAGTATCGGCGACGTGTTGCCGCTATTTGCACCAGCACTAGATGAGTCAGAGAATGTGGGAAAGGCACAATCTAATAATTTTTCTGCATTCTCCCGCTGTTCTTGAGATTTTGGATTGTACACCTCTGTCCGTCGGGGCGAAAATCGTTAGAATTTAATGGCTGCGCACATGCGTCTAAAATACAAACACGCTTCGACTATGTAACCTTGACAAAGTGTCTCCAGATAATGTAACTTTTGGTCTAGTGAAGCGTTCATGAGTCCGGTTATGTACAACTAACTATATACGAGCGGTAAAATACCAAAAGATCGATATACACTTTAATTTCAACAGATTATTTATTATATAGATTAGTCGTTGTGTCACAAATCAAGAATTTTGTCCGATGGTATGACGACACAATGTCAGAAATTATAATAATATATGGGAAATACCGTTCAATTTGAAGGGGTCGCCCACTTTTTATAACTTTCAGCACAATGACTATCGCGAGGAACTTTTATTCACAATGCTTTCAGACAATGACAAAGTTAATATACAGTATATTGGTTTTGTATGCAGCCAATGGGCATATGTATCATGTGATATACGTAACAGTCGTTTTGTTCATCGTTTCTTTATTTGACCATTTAAGCATTGTCGATCGTGATAAGATTGTTCTATCAACATGTTACACGGACAATGTTGCTGATCGCAACTCTTACTATTATTAGTATTGGTATTAGTATTGGGAATAACCCACTGCAACTATCCAAAGAGTTATACTCTAAGCGCTGAACCAAGGAAAAGCATAAAGAGTTCGATGTAATAAGTTAATAATCTACACGTGTTGGTTTAAGTTTCCCTGAATTTTACATAGAAAGTCAGGAATGTTCGCGTAGTACTAGACATGTGGCATTGTGGCGAATCATGTGCATACAATAATGATTCGTAAATCATTGCCTCATGATGAAGCGATAATGAGAATAACCTATCACGTTGCATTATTTTGAAAAAGTTATGCGCATTTTATAAAATAACTAGGTCGGGGAATTTTTTGGGGGGGGGGGGCTTCGCCCCCCCGGCAATTAAATATTCATTGGATAATTTTAGTTTCTAAAAAGGAAATATATGAGCAATTTGTGGTAAGAATATGGTGAA